AGGATTCATACCTTTCCCAAGAGTATTAGCACACAAGTGAAAGTAATGGATTTGAGTGGAATTCGAACTCGGCTCTCCGATTCCTCAATCCGAGCCACTATCCATTACTCTACCGATTAATAAGCTCTGTAAAAGAAAAGTAAAAACTGAAGGAGGGTGATCAAGCCATAGACATTGATCAATGCTCTTAACTTCCCCTTCAAATGCTATAGGGAAGTACAGCCTGGGCAAAGGATGTTCTGTGCCCAGACAGGCGGAAGCAAATTTGTATCGCTTTCTTCATAGTTTGCATAAACCCGCAGGACTTGAAGTCGATCCTTTGTTGAGAGGCAAAATCTCTATTAACTGATATGAGAGCAGGTATTTGTAGAACAAGGCTTCCATCTTAGGTGTTGTATTCAGGATACGCATTCACGTATTCTGAGCGATGAAGAATACATTTAAATATGGACGAAAAGAGTTTCAATTCCACCCTCCATGTCCAGTAGTTGCAAGAATTTGTTACAAGAATTGGAAGAATTTCTTATCAGATCTGGATGGACTGTAAATGAAAAACTAAAATTACTGAAACTTATTTACACTATTTACATTATTCGGACTGTTGTCCTCATCTTTATTGTCATATTCACAACGTTTCACATATTCATAACGTTTCGGCCGTTCTACAACCCGGCCTTCTTCAGGATCTGACTATATTTCTAAAAGGAGTAATTGTAACTATTTACGTTATTCGGACCGTGGTCCTCATCTTTGTTGTCATATTCACAACGTTTCGGCTGTTTTACAAACTGGACTTCTTCAGGATCTAACTATATTTCTAAAAGGAGTAATTGTAGCTATTTACACTATTTACATTATTTGGACTGTTGTCCTCGTCTTTATTGTCATATTCACGACGTTTCGGTCGTTGTACAACCCGGCCTTCTTCAGGATCTAACTATATTTCTGAAAGGAGTAATTGTAACTATTTACTCTATTTACATTATTCAGACTGTTGTCCTCATCTTTATTGTCATATCCATTACGTTTAGGCCGTTGTAAAACCTGACCTTCTTCAGGATCTGACTATATTTCTGAAAAGAGTAATTGTAACTATTTACACTATTTACATTGTTCGGACTGTTGTCCTCATCTTTATTGCCATGTTCATGATGTTTCAGCCGTTGTATGCTCCATCCTTCTTCAGGTGATATTTTGGAATTTCGAACCGTGGTCCCAAAAGGGAGAACAACAACTTGGAGAATTGAGTTACCGAGGGGAAATAAGTAAAACTGAGATATCCAAAGGCATTGGACGTGGAATTAAAAAAAATTGCCCATATGACCTGAAGAAGGCCGAAACGTTCAATAAAGATGAGGACAGCAGTCCGGTCAATGTAAATAGTGTAAATAGTTACAATATCTCACCTTAAAAATATAGACAGATCCTGAAGAAGGCTGGAACGTACAATGTCCGAAATGTCATTAGTATAACAATAAAGTTGAGGACAACAATCTGAACAATTTAAATAGTGTAAATAGTTACAATACCTCAGCGCAGAAATATAGACAGATACTAAAAATTGGAGCGTATAACAGTCGAAACGTCGTGAAGATGATGATAAAGACGTGGCCAGCAGTCTGAACAACGTAAATAATTTAAATATTTACAAAATACTGAGACGTAATTTTAATTCATTTTTTAAAATGTTTTTTGATCAGTTCATACAAAAATGCGAGTGTTGATTGATAAATAAGATCCTCAATCATATAAAACCAATTCTAGAATAATGAAGCTGATATCGAAATGTAGTAAATGTAGAATTGGTTTATTCATAAATAAAATCTCCAATCCTATCAAACAAGTTTTAGAGCAGATAGAATAGCGAAAGTCAATTTATTTCACTTCAAAGTTACTACGGTTGACTAATAATGTCTCCAATAATATAAAACATGTTTTCAGTCGATGAGAACAGTTAAACTAATATAAAAATGTTGTAAATCTATTTTTTTTTCGAAATGATAAGGGTTAATTGATATGTAAATTATCCCATCCTATAAAAAAGTTAGAATAATGAAGCTGTTATCAAAATGAAGGAAGTTTATTTCTCTTTAGAATGACGTGAGTTGATAAGGACTAAAATCCTATAAACCAACTTTTAGACCAGATACAATAATAATAAAACTGGTATGAAAAGGAAATACTTTTGTTCAGATATTAGGTTGCTTGAAAAATGATATCCGATTTTAGAATCAACGTTTTAATTGTATTCTAATATATTATTATAATAGTTGCGCAAAAATATATCACTTACTAGCAGGAGAGCCCGGCGTTGCCCGGGGATGTAACAGTAAGAGATAGATCAAGTATCGACCATCATAAAGACTGAAAAATAAAATTGACAAAGATTATTGTTTAAGGTTGACGGACACGCATGTCTTAATTGGGTTTTTTTTGTTTTGTTTTTTTGTTGTTGTTTTTTTTTGTTTTTTTACAAATTGGTCAAACAAAAACATTGTTTTCAATCGTTATGAGTCTACCGATTGAATAGAATTTTATTATAAACAATTGTCTTGTAAATGGAATTTTTAAAGCATTCTGAATGTAAAAATAAATAAAAAAAAGTGTGCAAGACAATAAGAAACACTACCTGCCAAAAAAAGTGAAGTTTTGTTGAAATTGGTTGAAAAATGTGGGAAATCCGATCCCATATATAAACGAACGCACACACACACACACACAAACAACCTGGGTTTTATAATAAGTATAACTCGATATGAGTTGTCCCCCTTTCATTCTGCGACAGAATCGTGTTTTCAAATTGATTTCGTGTTTTTCCAATTTTTGAACCACCGCAAGGTAATTTTACTCAGTCCTGTGAAGTTTTGTTGAAATCGGTTGAAAAATGTAGGAAATCTGATCCAATATATAAACGTACAGACACACACACACACACACAATCTGCGTTTTATAATAAGTAAGATTCCTAATTTTATATCAATCTATTTCAGAATTTTACTTAAGACATTGTATCCCCTTCATCTTGAACATGAAAAAAGTATACATTTTTTTGCATACGTTCAAGCTTGATCATAATGCTTCTCAAGTTGCTGCCAACATAAATAGATGATGGGATGAAGTATCCTCTTGTGATAGAACAGTACCGCGCTGGTTTCTAAAGTTCCGCAGTGGGGATACAAGTCTTAAAAGTGAAGGTGGCAAAGGACGTTCATCTGCAATTGACAATCAACATCTGAAAACATTAGTCGAACAAAACACGTGTCAAAGTGTCAGAGAAATATCTTAGATATCTTGGGATATGTGCCTTTGCCACATCCACCATATTTCCTTGATCTCTAACCCATTGACAATCATTCTTCAAGCATCTTAGACAATTTCTTAAGCTAAAATTTCCTATTTTATTTGCTATAGTGATCTTTATTTGCTAAGTCTTTCATCTTTCTAATGCAAATTTCAGTTTTTCTTACGAAATTATTGAAAAGGTTTGTCTACGTTTGTGAATTGTAATCATTATCCCAATCTTTTAATTTTTTTTCTTTTCTTTTTCTTTTCTTAAAACCGTTGGAAGACTGACGTCAATCATTTTGTTTATTATTATTATTATTATTATTATAGTTTTTATCATTATTATTATTATTATCATTATTATTATTTGCGTATGTTATGTTTCCTGCTTTGTATCCTGTAGAGCTGGGCCCAAACTATGGTCCTTAGGCCTTATAAGAGAATTGTCATTTAATTGATAGCACTTTTCTTAGTGTATGAGATGTTCCTAGTAGGGCGATCTTTTGGGCAACTTGTATGTTGGTGTTACCTTGGACACTGCTAGTAAAATTGTCCATTCCTTTTCTCCCGAGGACCAGTGCTCCGATTACTATTGGTACAGTCTCGGTTTTTATTCCCCACATCCTCTTAATCTCGATCTCCAGTTCCTTATATTTGGACAATTTCTTTATTTTTATTATCATTATTATTATTATTATTATTATTATTATTAATACCTTCTGTTGTTCCACGCGGTTTTTCGTTTTCAACCGCAGGTCTTACAGTTGGACATATTCACTTGTGCTGACGAAGATTTTTTCAGCAGGGCCCCACATACAAAGGTATACGCTTCTTTTATCGAAACATTTCACAACATGTCACACCTTTGGCCGTGATGCATGTGCTTCGTATACCCTTATTAGACCAAGTCATCTGATAGGTATATTTGGGTTTGTATATTTGCACCCAAGTGTCATTTTATTGACATGCTGCTCTCTTACGCCATAACAACAACAATAATAATAATAATAATAGGCATGAAGAAATAAAGAGAGACAGAGAGAGGAGACCTATAACTAGACTACTATGTTAATTAGGATAATAATAAGAAGGAGGGCCAAAAACAGCCCTATAACGTTTTCTAGGGATAATAGAGTCATGCCTGTCTACTTAAATCCATGGAAGGCCAATGACTATACAACAAAAGTAATAATGATAATAGTAAAAAGTGGGAAAATCAAAGATTTCAGTTGCACAGATGTGCATGTGTTCGACTAACCTTAATCAGGTGAGGGAGCATCTCCATTAGCGCAAACGAAGATACAAAGGTATACGCTTTTTTTATCGAAACATGTCACACCTTTGGCTGAACAAAATGTGCCATTCAGGTATACCCTTATTAGACCAGGTCTTCTGATGGGTATATTTGGGTTTGTATATTTGCACCAAGTATCACTTTTATTAGCATGCCGCGTTCTTACGCCATAACAACAACAATAATAATAATGACAATCAACATCTGAAATTGACATGGAACTTTGCTCTCCGATTAACAATTTCGCGCCATCATCCCTTACACCACCCGCACACCCAAATTTACAGCACCTGATATTCTCAATCGCTCACCCATCTAGGTAATGACCAGGCTTAACTTGCTTAACTTTGGTGATCATATACATGGGGAAGTGGTGTTTCAATGTGATATAGCCGTAAACTATACCACCCGCACATCCTAGATTACAGTACCTGGTATTCCCAAGCAGTCACCCATCTAGGTACTGACCAAGAACGAGGTTGCTTAACTTCGGTGATCACATACATTGGGAAGAGGTGTTTCATTGTGACATGGCCGTAAGCCATACCACCCGCACATCCCAGCTTACAGCACCTGGTATTTCCAATCGGTCCCCCATCTATGTTCCGACCAGTCTCGACGTTGCTTAACTTCGGTGATCATACGGAAACCTGTGTTACAATGTGATATATGGCCGTAA